CGAAAAAAAAATTAACCATTGCAATATACGATATAGCTTAAACATGCAAAAATAATACGTTGAAAAAGCTTAAACATGGCGAGATAGTGAAGCCCGCATTTAAATATATAATAAATTTTTTGAAAAAATTACAAAAACGTCATATCTCGAAACTACAAGGATTTGAACAATCATATTTAGAGGCAAGATTTGTAACTCCTTAGAGTACTCTGACAGCACCCAACTACAGGGTGGAACTTCAAGATTCGTAAATTATTTTGCTATTTGAAACATATGAAATTTTTGAAAAAATCTCAAAAATCGTCTTTTCTCGTTAACTAAAATGATTCGGGCATTCAAAATTGGAGGCCAAATTCGCAACCCTAATTCAATATTGGGCTGCTTAATTTAAACTTAAGGTAAAATAACCACTAAAATCAAATTGGAAAAAACGAAAAAAAAAATCTTATTCATTGCAATATACGTTATAGCTTAAACATGCAAAAATAATACGTTGAAAAAGCTTTAAGATGGCGAGATAGTGAAGCCCGCAATTAAATATATAATAGATTTCGTTGGGCTGATCATTAAAACCGAAAGTTTGCGATTTTTTAAAATTTAGTTCAAAAACTAGCAAATAACCTCATGTACACTAGTGGTTAAAATTGAACCCAAATTCAGATTTTTACTGTCTAAAAACCCTGAATTCAAGGACCATTTTGGACAAAAATTACTTTCAGTTTTCAGATAACTTTAACATAGACCAAGAGCAATTGATCTGAACTACCCTCTATGTTCTCGCTAGAACTCTGGCGAGAAAAACCAAGGCCTTAACTAATGAGTTTTCTTGTGAACAAAGAACAGTGTGTGAAAAAAGTTGAAAACTGAAAGATCGAAATCAAAATCACAAGTTGTTCAGGCGACTTTTGAAGTTGATTTTTTAATGTTTTCATTTTGCGTATTTTATGACATTGAATTCTGCTTTTAAATACCGAAATTTATGGCAGTTCGTTATTCTTTGATGACTTGTAATTTCCGATAATTACGGTTAATTTACGTATGAAATGAAATGTTGTCAATCAGCCAGCTACCCGAAACCGGTCTACCTCAAAACCGAAACGAGGCAGAAATATGGTCCACCGACCCGGACAGGAGCAGTTACTGGATTTGAGAGCTGACCCGGCTAACCTTGGAGCTCTCACCTCTTCTCTTTCTGTTGGGGGGCGAGGCAATTCTCGCTAGAACTCATAGCGAGAAAAACCAAGGCCGTAACTAATGAGTTTTCTGGTAAACGAAGAGCAGTGTGTGAAAAAAGTTGAAAAATGAAAGATCGAAATCAAGTTCACAAGTTGTTCAGGCGCCACTTTTAAAGTTGACTTTTTAATGTTTTCAATTTGCGTATTTTATGACATTGAATTCTGCTTTTAAATACCGAAATTTATGGCAGTTCATTATTCTTTGATGACTTTTAATTTCCGATAATTACGGCTAACTTACGTATGAAATGAAATGTTGTCAATCGGCCAGCTACCCGAAACCGATCTACCTCAGAACCGAAACGAGGCAGAAATACTCTATGAAACTATCAATAATTAATTTCAACTTATCAACGTATTCAGGGTCTGAAAATGCCAGATTTCCTCATCTGTACCAAGTTTTGCATCGATGTGAACTTTTCTTCATATTAGCGGAGTAAAAAAGTTGTTCATGCAACGTGAAACATTCTCAGCGATAAGTTCAATTAATCAGAGTGACAACTTAACAAAACTCTACAATTTCACTTGTTTTGAAAAACTTGTTGCAGATGATGAAACCTGGCGTTTTCAGACCCGGATAAAACTGATAAGTGCTTCAAATTAAAAACTGAGACTTCGAGAGAGGAAAGTTCAGGCCATTTGCTGTCGGTCGGTCGATGTAGAAATTTTGGGAAATTAGGAAGTAAATATAGTCCCAAATGGTCCTTAAAGTTAGGCTATTTAGAAAGTAAAAACCTAAATTTGCGTTTAATTTTGTCCATTAGTGTATAGCTTATTTAAAGCAGTAAACCCAACCGTGTATTGAATTAATCAAATCTGTCGATCAAGAATCGTAATATCAATTTACCCCTCCATCTTGTGAACTTTCTTGTGAACGAAGAACAGTGTGTGAAAAAAGTTGAAAACTGAAAGATCGAAATCAAAATCACAAGTTGTTCAGGCGACTTTTGAAGTTGATTTTTTAATGTTTTCATTTTGCGTATTTTATGACATTGAATTCTGCTTTTAAATACCGAAATTTATGGCAGTTCGTTATTCTTTGATGACTTGTAATTTCCGATAATTACGGTTAATTTACGTATGAAATGAAATGTTGTCAATCAGCCAGCTACCCGAAACCGGTCTACCTCAAAACCGAAACGAGGCAGAAATATGGTCCACCGACCCGGACAGGAGCAGTTACTGGATTTGAGAGCTGACCCGGCTAACCTTGGAGCTCTCACCTCTTCTCTTTCTGTTGGGGGGCGAGGCAATTCTCGCTAGAACTCATAGCGAGAAAAACCAAGGCCGTAACTAATGAGTTTTCTGGTAAACGAAGAGCAGTGTGTGAAAAAAGTTGAAAAATGAAAGATCGAAATCAAGTTCACAAGTTGTTCAGGCGCCACTTTTAAAGTTGACTTTTTAATGTTTTCATTTTGCGTATTTTATGACATTGAATTCTGCTTTTAAATACCGAAATTTATGGCAGTTCATTATTCTTTGATGACTTTTAATTTCCGATAATTACGGCTAACTTACGTATGAAATGAAATGTTGTCAATCGGCCAGCTACCCGAAACCGATCTACCTCAGAACCGAAACGAGGCAGAAATACTCTATGAAACTATCAATAATTAATTTCAACTTATTAACGTATTCAGGGTCTGAAAATGCCAGATATTCTCATCTGTACCAAGTTTTGCATCGATGTGAACTCTTCTTCGTATTAGCGGAGTAAAAAAGTTGTTCATGCAACGTGAAACATTCTCAGCGATAAGTTCAATTAATCAGAGTGACAACTTAACAAAACTCTACAATTTCACTTGTTTTGAAAAACTTGTTGCAGATGATGAAACCTGGCGTTTTCAGACCCGGATAAAACTGATAAGTGCTTCAAATTAAAAACTGAGACTTCCAGAGAGGAAAGTTCAGGCCATTTGCTGTCGGTCGGTCGATGTAGAAATTTTGGGAAATTAGGAAGTAAATATAGTCCCAAATGGTCCTTAAAGTTAGGCTATTTAGAAAGTAAAAACCTAAATTTGCGTTTAATTTTGTCCATTAGTGTATAGCTTATTTAAAGCAGTAAACCCAACCGTGTATTGAATTAATCAAATCTGTCGATCGAGAATCGTAATATCAATTTACCCCTCCATCCTCGCGCAATGTAGTGACCAGGGACAGTCTGAACTTGTCTCCTAGATCCACCGGATAGATCTGGGAGTTGACGTCCAAAATCAGTTCCATCTTGAAGCTCTCCGAGTCGCAGTGCAGTCGGGACACCCGGTCGAATTTGGCGCCCTCCGGGTTGATGTCCTTGACGTCGAAGATGTCTTCAAACAAGACTCCTGCCATGTCTACACTCTTGCAACACTAGTCGGATTTTTCAGTCATACACATCAAAAATTGATCAGCCAACTCAAATACTGCAAATCTGTCGATCAAGAATCGTAATATCAATTTACCCCTCCATCTTGTGAACTTTCTTGTGAACGAAGAACAGTGTGTGAAAAAAGTTGAAAACTGAAAGATCGAAATCAAAATCACAAGTTGTTCAGGCGACTTTTGAAATTGATTTTTTAATGTTTTCATTTTGCGTATTTTATGACATTGAATTCTGCTTTTAAATACCGAAATTTATGGCAGTTCGTTATTCTTTGATGACTTGTAATTTCCGATAATTACGGTTAATTTACGTATGAAATGAAATGTTGTCAATCAGCCAGCTACCCGAAACCGGTCTACCTCAAAACCGAAACGAGGCAGAAATATGGTCCACCGACCCGGACAGGAGCAGTTCCTGGATTTGAGAGCTGACCCGGCTAACCTTGGAGCTCTCACCTCTTCTCTTTCTGTTGGGGGGCGAGGCAATTCTCGCTAGAATTCATAGCGAGAAAAACCAAGGCCGTAACTAATGAGTTTTCTGGTAAACGAAGAGCAGTGTGTGAAAAAAGTTGAAAAATGAAAGATCGAAATCAAGTTCACAAGTTGTTCAGGCGCCACTTTTAAAGTTGACTTTTTAATGTTTTCAATTTGCGTATTTTATGACATTGAATTCTGCTTTTAAATACCGAAATTTATGGCAGTTCATTATTCTTTGATGACTTTTAATTTCCGATAATTACGGCTAACTTACGTATGAAATGAAATGTTGTCAATCGGCCAGCTACCCGAAACCGATCTACCTCAGAACCGAAACGAGGCAGAAATACTCTATGAAACTATCAATAATTAATTTCAACTTATCAACGTATTCAGGGTCTGAAAATGCCAGATTTCCTCATCTGTACCAAGTTTTGCATCGATGTGAACTTTTCTTCGTATTAGCGGAGTAAAAAAGTTGTTCATGCAACGTGAAACATTCTCAGCGATAAGTTCAATTAATCAGAGTGACAACTTAACAAAACTCTACAATTTCACTTGTTTTGAAAAACTTGTTGCAGATGATGAAACCTGGCGTTTTCAGACCCGGATAAAACTGATAAGTGCTTCAAATTAAAAACTGAGACTTCGAGAGAGGAAAGTTCAGGCCATTTGCTGTCGGTCGGTCGATGTAGAAATTTTGGGAAATTAGGAAGTAAATATAGTCCCAAATGGTCCTTAAAGTTAGGCTATTTAGAAAGTAAAAACCTAAATTTGCGTTTAATTTTGTCCATTAGTGTATAGCTTATTTAAAGCAGTAAACCCAACCGTGTATTGAATTAATCAAATCTGTCGATCAAGAATCGTAATATCAATTTACCCCTCCATCTTGTGAACTTTCTTGTGAACGAAGAACAGTGTGTGAAAAAAGTTGAAAACTGAAAGATCGAAATCAAAATCACAAGTTGTTCAGGCGACTTTTGAAATTGATTTTTTAATGTTTTCATTTTGCGTATTTTATGACATTGAATTCTGCTTTTAAATACCGAAATTTATGGCAGTTCGTTATTCTTTGATGACTTGTAATTTCCGATAATTACGGTTAATTTACGTATGAAATGAAATGTTGTCAATCAGCCAGCTACCCGAAACCGGTCTACCTCAAAACCGAAACGAGGCAGAAATATGGTCCACCGACCCGGACAGGAGCAGTTACTGGATTTGAGAGCTGACCCGGCTAACCTTGGAGCTCTCACCTCTTCTCTTTCTGTTGGGGGGCGAGGCAATTCTCGCTAGAACTCATAGCGAGAAAAACCAAGGCCGTAACTAATGAGTTTTCTGGTAAACGAAGAGCAGTGTGTGAAAAAAGTTGAAAAATGAAAGATCGAAATCAAGTTCACAATTTGTTCAGGCGCCACTTTTAAAGTTGACTTTTTAATGTTTTCATTTTGCGTATTTTATGACATTGAATTCTGCTTTTAAATACCGAAATTTATGGCAGTTCATTATTCTTTGATGACTTTTAATTTCCGATAATTACGGCTAACTTACGTATGAAATGAAATGTTGTCAATCGGCCAGCTACCCGAAACCGATCTACCTCAGAACCGAAACGAGGCAGAAATACTCTATGAAACTATCAATAATTAATTTCAACTTATTAACGTATTCAGTGTCTGAAAATGCCAGATATTCTCATCTGTACCAAGTTTTGCATCGATGTGAACTCTTCTTCGTATTAGCGGAGTAAAAAAGTTGTTCATGCAACGTGAAACATTCTCAGCGATAAGTTCAATTAATCAGAGTGACAACTTAACAAAACTCTACAATTTCACTTGTTTTGAAAAACTTGTTGCAGATGATGAAACCTGGCGTTTTCAGACCCGGATAAAACTGATAAGTGCTTCAAATTAAAAACTGAGACTTCCAGAGAGGAAAGTTCAGGCCATTTGCTGTCGGTCGGTCGATGTAGAAATTTTGGGAAATTAGGAAGTAAATATAGTCCCAAATGGTCCTTAAAGTTAGGCTATTTAGAAAGTAAAAACCTAAATTTGCGTTTAATTTTGTCCATTAGTGTATAGCTTATTTAAAGCAGTAAACCCAACCGTGTATTGAATTAATCAAATCTGTCGATCGAGAATCGTAATATCAATTTACCCCTCCATCCTCGCGCAATGTAGTGACCAGGGACAGTCTGAACTTGTCTCCTAGATCCACCGGATAGATCTGGGAGTTGACGTCCAAAATCAGTTCCATCTTGAAGCTCTCCGAGTCGCAGTGCAGTCGGGACACCCGGTCGAATTTGGCGCCCTCCGGGTTGATGTCCTTGACGTCGAAGATGTCTTCAAACAAGACTCCTGCCATGTCTACACTCTTGCAACACTAGTCGGATTTTTCAGTCATACACATCAAAAATTGATCAGCCAACTCAAATACTGCAAATCTGTCGATCAAGAATCGTAATATCAATTTACCCCTCCATCTTGTGAACTTTCTTGTGAACGAAGAACAGTGTGTGAAAAAAGTTGAAAAATGAAAGATCGAAATCAAAATCACAAGTTGTTCAGGCGACTTTTGAAATTGATTTTTTAATGTTTTCATTTTGCGTATTTTATGACATTGAATTCTGCTTTTAAATACCGAAATTTATGGCAGTTCGTTATTCTTTGATGACTTGTAATTTCCGATAATTACGGTTAATTTACGTATGAAATGAAATGTTGTCAATCAGCCAGCTACCCGAAACCGGTCTACCTCAAAACCGAAACGAGGCAGAAATATGGTCCACCGACCCGGACAGGAGCAGTTACTGGATTTGAGAGCTGACCCGGCTAACCTTGGAGCTCTCACCTCTTCTCTTTCTGTTGGGGGGCGAGGCAATTCTCGCTAGAATTCATAGCGAGAAAAACCAAGGCCGTAACTAATGAGTTTTCTGGTAAACGAAGAGCAGTGTGTGAAAAAAGTTGAAAAATGAAAGATCGAAATCAAGTTCACAAGTTGTTCAGGCGCCACTTTTAAAGTTGACTTTTTAATGTTTTCATTTTGCGTATTTTATGACATTGAATTCTGCTTTTAAATACCGAAATTTATGGCAGTTCATTATTCTTTGATGACTTTTAATTTCCGATAATTACGGCTAACTTACGTATGAAATGAAATGTTGTCAATCGGTCAGCTACCCGAAACCGATCTACCTCAGAACCGAAACGAGGCAGAAATACTCTATGAAACTATCAATAATTAATTTCAACTTATTAACGTATTCAGGGTCTGAAAATGCCAGATATTCTCATCTGTACCAAGTTTTGCATCGATGTGAACTCTTCTTCGTATTAGCGGAGTAAAAAAGTTGTTCATGCAACGTGAAACATTCTCAGCGATAAGTTCAATTAATCAGAGTGACAACTTAACAAAACTCTACAATTTCACTTGTTTTGAAAAACTTGTTGCAGATGATGAAACCTGGCGTTTTCAGACCCGGATAAAACTGATAAGTGCTTCAAATTAAAAACTGAGACTTCCAGAGAGGAAAGTTCAGGCCATTTGCTGTCGGTCGGTCGATGTAGAAATTTTGGGAAATTAGGAAGTAAATATAGTCCCAAATGGTCCTTAAAGTTAGGCTATTTAGAAAGTAAAAACCTAAATTTGCGTTTAATTTTGTCCATTAGTGTATAGCTTATTTAAAGCAGTAAACCCAACCGTGTATTGAATTAATCAAATCTGTCGATCAAGAATCGTAATATCAATTTACCCCTCCATCCTCGCGCAATGTAGTGACCAGGGACAGTCTGAACTTGTCTCCTAGATCCACCGGATAGATCTGGGAGTTGACGTCCAAAATCAGTTCCATCTTGAAGCTCTCCGAGTCGCAGTGCAGTCGGGACACCCGGTCGAATTTGGCGCCCTCCGGGTTGATGTCCTTGACGTCGAAGATGTCTTCAAACAAGACTCCTGCCATGTCTACACTCTTGCAACACTAGTCGGATTTTTCAGTCATACACATCAAAAATTGATCAGCCAACTCAAATACTGCAAAAACACACAAATCTGAAAAGATAAAGACACGTGAAATAATGAAAGTTTCAACGAGGCACGAATAGTTAGCTGAACAGAACATAGGCCGGTAAGATACAATTTGCATTCATATTTTCACTACTCTTCCAAGAACCTATAAATTACAAACATCTATAACATTTTGCCTGCAATCAAATCTGTTTGTTCATTGCTGATGACGCGAAGTGGGGTTTCAAAAGAAAGGAATCAACGCTTATTTTGCGACAATCACAAAATTGATGTTAGCCTAGCATGAAAATGGTCGGTTATTCATCATCAACTTGAAAAACTTGCACCATATCTTTGTATTGGATGGTCCTGAGGGACCATCCACCCCTCCCATAAATTTACTTACCCATGAATTTTTACTTACGATTTATGCCTACTTTCGAGTTACAAAAAGCAATACAAATATATCTGAATTTTTCATGTTACTTCTTTGATGGAATATAAAAACAATTATCATCAAATAAATTATTAACGATAGAAGGATAGCCGGCTCCAGTGCAAGTACCACCGAATGTTCCGATCACTTTTTTTTATAACAAATAGTAAAAAAAAATTGCGTTTTTATTTTTTAGCTAGCGAAAGAGAACTTAGATGGAGTGATCGGAACAATAAAAAAATAAATAAATTGCTCCTAAATTACGCTGATCTAAAATACGCTGAGCTGATTCAAAATAGTTTAATTACAACAAAATCAGCTCATGGTAGTTCGTTTCAGGACCAAAAAATAAAGGCAGCTTAGCTCTAATAGCTTACGATCAAGTAAGCACAGACCAGTCGGGGCAAAATTCCATGTCTATTATTTTCTATTCAAAATTGACTATTTCCAAAAAAATCCATTCTCCCAAACTGAATAAATCAAGTTTTACGCTTTTTGGTCATTTAAAGGTTAAATTGCCACATTATCTGTTTTGGCCGATCAGATTGGCTGCGTGCAGATGATATACCAAAATATATACATAGTATCTTCTATTTCATCACAACTTCGTTAGCACCAGAGAATGAATCTATTGCACTATGCGTGCGGGCGTATGTCTGTCTATGTATATGTAGTATGTACAGTAGGTACAGTTGTATGTACGTACATACATTTAGAACACTGGCTGAAGTATTTGAGAAATCTGAGCCATTGACATTTGATTTCAAACTACATAAAGCACCAGCAAATGATAACTTCTATGAAGTTAGTTTAAAACACATTACATTTTGCATTTCGGCATTTTTATAGAATTTTATAATCTACAGAGATTGTAGAAGCAGAACAATATAGCAACATTAGTGGCTTTCCGTTGTTGCTTCTTCTCTAATGGACAATGGAATGGAAAATTTACAGATAGGCGAAGTTGCACTTCGCATACACAAGCAAAAGTATGACCGATAACGCTACTGGGAAAAACTGAACGAGTAAAGCTTTGAGTCAACAAAAATTCTTAAGTTACGGACGCCAATTATGAGTCTACATAATTACTAAGTGATGCAAGCCAATTATGACGCAAGAGCAAAACAAGTCAATTTGAAAAAAAAAGAAGTTTACCAACTAACATGCCTCAATTTACAGAGCGGACGCATTTTAGCTAGTATATGAAAAAGTTCATTAAAAACATCCGACCCTGTCCAGGTTCGAACCCTTTTCATTTGCTGCTGGTCTCTCCCTACCTCTACGCTACAGATCCATGATGCCTTGAAGCTAAAGTGCTATTTGTAATATAATAGTCTGTGTTAATATTAGCATTGGCTGTACTTAATAGCTGGTTATTGATCGAAATGAACACGTTTTGTCGCAATAAAATTTGCGACTTAGGTTGGAAAAAAAAGAGAGTTCATACTTTAACACAAGCTTTGCTTGTGTAAATAGCACCAACATTTGGTTACACATCCATGGTTTCAATGAATTTGCATCTACAGTCCAGGACGTCAATTTTGCACCAATGTTCAAAAATTGGATCAAAAACTTTTTGAAAAAATTTTTCTCATGAATTTGGGTCGCGCTTTTTTCACCCTGAATTTTAAACGAAAAGCGGAGTTGAGATAAACCAGAGTACAGATCTAGGAAAATACTTACAGATTTAGTATTATATGTAACACTTTCCTCTAGTCGTTGTATATACACTTGTTGTTCCGACTATTTTCCAATAAAATGACAGAATATTTATGATCGGGTGGTTTTTCTCCAGACGGAATTTTTTATATCAAATTTGATAAAAATTAATAAAATATCCGAAAGCCAATATTCTATTAGAGACATCCTATTAACTTCTGGACTTTTGGGAGTAGCTATGGGCTACTTACCATTTTAGTTCGCAAATAAGTTGAAATAGATGAATGAAAAACATAATTCATAACTGCGATAGATAAACTTTTCGAAGTTCAGGTCAACAGTAAGCAATCAGATCTCCCTGTTGATGGGAGGTTGAAGTTGTACCATTTGCAGACAGGTGCAGTCTCCTGAGTCAAAGACATGTGAAGGCGGCACGTCAAGGCGCTTTAGGCCAGCAGCCACATTGGTAACCCGTTGAAGTATTGCTTCACAGACGTTTAATTCATATTATTCCTATCAGCCCAAGAACTTTTCCGTAATTTCATCATCATTTTCCATTGGCTTTTTAATGTCATTTTCAGACAGACTAAAGCTCCATTGTCATATAAGCCGAATATATGTTAAGACAAGACATTTACGCCGATTCAACGGAAGAATGCGTATCATCCACTCTTTTTGAAATCTTCCGAAGATTTCAATAGCTTTAGCGCGATTCGCAGAAATCGTACGAGCTAACTGTGTTATATGCATATGTGCATAAAAACATAAACGAATAAGCACGGATTGTGAATTGTACCGAGTATAAGGTAAATACTGGGATAGATCCGGCTATGATGGACGAATGGAGAGGATTAATCACTCCCTAGTCCACGAAAACTCTTGGCGAGAGGAGCAAATCCTTCGCAGTCTTCAGTAAAACTAACCCTTGTATACAGGGAAAAGTTTTTAGGTGCACATTGGTAACGAAGTCGGCAGAAGAAAGTAATATAAGTAATATTAATAAATAACTAATAAAAAACAACCAGTCATCATTCATCATCTGGTTCAGGCTGTATGCCATAAAGGAAGAAAGACAATAAAAGCTGTCCAAGTGTTTACCGGTAAACCACTTGATTAAGAACTACATGCATCATTTTCTTCATTTCATGCTAATTAATGTTCCACGTTCAACCTACGGGAAAGAATACTGAAATCGAAAAAATAAACCACACCAGCCAATAAAATGCTGCTAATAGATAATTGATATGTTGCAACGGATATGTGAAAGGATAAGTTTTAACCGCCGAGATAATAACCAAGTAAGAAGTAAAGAAATCAGCGCCATTGAATTGAAATACAGAGCGCTTAAAGTTCGGTGAGCGTGTCGACCTCTACCACTAGGCCGGACATATCTCCACCACAGAAGTTGATCCCAGGCTGATCCTACTTTTTATCAATCCAAATCACTTTCTGATTCAAATAATCTTTACGACTTTGATCAGAATCGAAAAATGGGCTGAATCTTTCTTCCCACATCTCTTTGCAACTTTCATCCATGCTGTTCCATTCGGGTGGTTTTAAGGCTACGCTGACATCATACAAAGTCTTTTCTGAGCCATCTTCAACCGAGTAATCACCTGGACAAATCAACTTCATCGTTTCCACCCTTTTCTTATTCTCCGCCGCCATCTATAAAATCTCCTCCGACTTCAGGACCTCTTCGCCTCATTTGCAGGTCAAAACTAACCTGAAAAAATCTCTGAGTTATACAAAAATCAACAGAGTAAAAATTAACAAGTCAAGCGAAAGGATGCGGCCAGCGCCAGGGAAGTTGCGATTAGACCTATTGCTGCGACTGTCGATCAAAATCATGCCAAACCCCCTCACAATTCTAACATAAGTTAAAAGATTAATAATTTGTTAACTAGAGGCAGAAACTTACAAAAAAAAACAATTTAACAATTTTTGCTTGAGAAATTGGACTAAAGTAATAGCCATTCACCAAAAAAAGATGCCAACTAAAAAATCTTTCACTGCGAAAATTTTTGGCGGCAATAAGTTTTCACAACAATAATTGAGGATAGTACTTATTCAACCCAGACTTTTTTTAGTCAAAAAACTTCAATCTGATAAAATTCATCAACAGATTTGAACAATCTAAAGAAAAAAGATACAGCGCAGCGCAATTCGAAAAAAAATACAGCGCAGCGCAATTCGAAAAAAATGTTTTCAGACACAAAGCCGCGTTGAGTTGAGTAAAGTCTCGTCTCGAAAGCGCTGTGCCAATATTGCCAACAGCTTTTTACCAATGAGTGAAGTTAATCTTCAAATTTACTTCTGTAATACCTTACTTCTGTGCTTATGTTAAGTTATATTTGTATGTTTTTTTCGAGAATGATAAACTATAGATATCACAAGTTAAAAATCGTCATATACGATCACTGCAATCCAGGCTGGTTTCTCAAACATTAGAATTAAGTATTAAGTTTTAGAAAAAAAACTATATATACATGTATGATTTAAAAGCACCAGCTCTTTTTACTGGATCTCATATATATAAATTAACTAAGCATTTATTAACTTAAGTACGTCATCGCACAAAACTGCATCTGAACAAAGAAATCACGTTACTTTTGTCTCGAATTTGATTCCGCCGCAGCCCCTCAAAAAACTACTTACTTTCAAAACAACACACGTAGAATTTGCAGTTTTAGCCGACATCATAAGCTTCAAAACCGAACAAGACTGCTCGAATCAGGTCAAAGCCCTGAATGTTCCGACTGCAATTTAATTGGTCTCGGATAGTTTTTGGAAAACTAAATATTGGCAAAACTATGAACTTATGGCTGATAATATCAAAAATTAATGTTGCAATTTGAGTC